TCTCTCTCTCTCTCTCTCTCTCTCTCTCTCTCTCTCTCTCTAGTCCTGGTCTACTCACACTCACCATGCATGCACACTCCCTATCACACGAGGATCCACTCTGAATACTTCTCACTGATCTATCCTACCAACTACCCCTACTAATGTACTAACAGGCGCTGGCGCAGCTATGGCTGCCTTTCTTCCAGCCAACGCCACATTTCTATCTTACTTAGCGCTGCTCACAGCCTAGTGCAGCTCACACACATCTGGCGCACAAGTGCCACGACACTTCCACACTCATGCGAAATGAGCCTCTGCCCAATGAGGAGGCTGGCCAGTCCTTTATAGCGCTGGGCTGGACTGGCGAGGTCTGAATTCGGCCCCCAAGTGTTTGGGACTTCTGCCCAGTACCTGTTGTTGCAAAGTGTGTGTCCCAGTATCTGTTCCCATGGTCTGCTGCTGCTTTGGGCCGTCGGGCCTGTCTTTTGGACTCCTGGTCTGAATCAGGATTGACCTGTGAAGCTATGACTGGACTGGGACTGTGGCCTTTGACTTATTGCCGAACAGACATGACTTATCGCCGAACAGTCATGACCCTATCTCAGTCTTGAAGTCTGTGTCCTGTACCCTTTCGTCTAGGATCTGACTGTGACTATTCAAAACGACTTTTCATCTCACACTGGATGCGAACTTGTCTTTTGGAATGCTGCTCGTGAAATTGATTTCTGGCCGAGAGGGCCCGTTTATGTTGGGGTCACATTTACGGGCCTGAATTGTAAAAGGCCCTTTCAATGAAGTCCATATCCAACCAGTAGCCCCAGCAGGTGCCTCCTTGATGAAGTGCCAACCAGGAAGATGAAGATGGAGGTCCACTATAACCATGGTCTCCTTATCGGCTCCAGCCTCCTTCCTCCTCCTGTACCTTTTCTGTTCCTCCATAGCCTAGGCCTTCTCGCACCCCCTACGACATAGCCATGGAGGTCTTCTTCCTCACCATAGACTCCTCCGTTGCCCAAGCACCCCGCCTCACTTTCGCTCAGGGTGGAGCAAATGCTTGGTGAATCCCTGGACTGAGCATTGCACGGAATGATATACTTTTGGCTCTCAGCCTCCTGTCCCTCTACCAAGGATACCCTCAGCCTCCAGGTGGTAGGCCTACCGTCTTCACCCGAATACAACGTACAGTCATTATAGCTGTATTTGGGTCATAGCTACGTGGGCGCACAGCGAAATTGGAGACGATCGGACTTGAACCGATAACTTCACACTTGCAAAACATGCATTCTACGGAACTTCTACCACTTGGACTACGCCCCCGACGGAATGGAGGATTTGAAATTTTGAACCCATGATACAATCTTGTTGTATGTTGATTTAGCAAACCAATGCCTTCAGCCGCTCTGCCGTACCTCACGGGAAAACCGGGGTTTGAACCGGCAACTTCTGACGGTGCTGAAAAGTGTCTCTTTCAGTCTAAATACAGTGACAATGACCGTACTTTGTATTTGGGTGAAAACGGTAGTCCGTGCACTAGGGCCACTGGAAGGCAGGAAAAGAGTCTGTAACCCACCCGCAGGGCCTGAATCTACCTCTAATATTATTGTAATGAACCCATTCTGGCAGATACTCAGAAGTCGTCAAACATCAGTAGTCTCATTATCTGCATCAAAGTCTCCAAATCATGAAGTGATATCTCAAACTGTATCTCATTAACATCACAAGAAGAGAGTGGAGGGGGAATAGACAAAGGAGAAGATGAAAGATCACACAGTAACAATCCCTTCAGACCCCTCTCCTTCTCTGGGCTTCTTCCCTCTCCACATCAACAATGATAATAAGAATATTCCTGATCACACACAATAGTGCCACATGGCACTTCATCTCATGAAGACCATGAAGACATAGCAGATTCCAGTGACGACGTCAAAGTCAGGTGAGTACCCGACCTGCTTCATTCACAGATCCCGATCTTCCTCCTCCTTGCAACCAGTCACCTCGTGTAGACAACGTGGACAATGCCACGTCAACAGTCGAGACAGGTGGCATATGCGTGGAAGTGGGTTTAGGTTACTAGTGGTCGTGGGTTTGGAGTGGTTTTGGTGTGGGTTTGGTGTGGGTTTGGGTTACTAGTGGGTTTGGCGTGGGTTTGGCATACTAGTGGATGCGGGTTTGACGTGGGTTTGGCGTGGGTTTCTAAGCCCACGCCCACTAGTAACCCGACATCAGCAATGGAGACCAGTGGTAGCGCCACATCAGCATGCAATGACCAGAGGTAGCGCCACGTCAGCATGCAATGTAGACCAAAGGTAGCGCCACATCAGCATGCAATGTAGACCAGAGGTAGCGCCAGAGGTAGCGCCACATCAGCATGCCACCTCAGCAAGCCTGGCGCACAATGCAGAAAGCGCCAGCGTGCTGTCTCCACCTCGTGCCGTCGTCCGCATCGCCAATGCACAGCCAGCATCTAGCCAGCGTCGAGCCAGCATAATGCCAGCGTCTAGTCAAAGTCGAGCCAGCGTCAAAACAGCATAGCAAGACTGAATGCTTGACTCACTTGAGGCCAGCCTTAAGTAGCATTTGTCAAGGCTGTCTGGCCTCGGTTGCTTTCCCCACGGTCGTCCAGATTGACTCACAGCTGAGGGCCCGGATTGTGCAGTTGCAGACTTCTCCCTTGGATCTGATGCTGTCTGGGTACCTGCATACAAACAAGTGTGTGTGCTTGACCAGCGGCCTGGGCTAGGTACCTTTGGACTTTGACTGTTGGCGTCTCGACAGTTGACCAAAGTCAACTGTCACACGTCCAGGCCCTGGGTCCTCATATGGGGTCCTTTTTGCCCCCGTTTCGGCCTGGGCTGAGGGCGGCTGAGTTGGCCCTCAGTCTTTCCACGAGACATATGACATGGGTTATTGCACTATCTACAGTCGGGCCGTGGACCGTCTAGACCTGCTGGAAAGCTACCGGTCTTTGTTGGTCTTCCGGATTTACTGAAATATCCCTGTGACGTCCCTCACAAATTTGACTTCTCTCACTGGCCGGCCTACCGACTGCTGACTGCTGTGTGTTCTCGTCCTGCTAAATTCCATCCCTTCCCTTGACCCTACTATGCTTATTCACGAGAAGCGGTTAACAGAGCCCTAGATTTTCAGCGTTTTTTTCATGAACCTACCCTTGTCCAAGTCATAGGCACAGGGCGGGAATAGTGTTACCTTACAGCCTTAGACTTGGGACTTGTCACTCCACAGGCAAACACATGGACACATACAACATCAGCAGGCGCTTAGCAAACCACAGCAAAGAGACTCAGATATCAGAAATCGCAGCAGCAGCAGGCGCTTAGCAAACCACAGCAAAGAGACTCAGATATCAGAAATTCCTGCAATCAGGCGCTTAGCAAACCACCGCAAAGAGACTCAGATACCAGAAATCGCAGCAATCAGGTAAAAAAGACAGCGTTATCTCAGCAATCAGGTCAGACAACAACGTTTTCTCAGAAATGTGCAGATTTTTCAGACTACATTTGTGTGGATCTTCACACCTCTATCCAAACGTTACATGTGATTATTTTGGATTATGTGCAGCATGCATTGGCAACTAGGAATGTGATTGAAGGAGCAAACTCAGCTAAGGATTCATTGCAACTTTTGGCTATCCGTCTTGTTGTCATCTCATCGTAGGGAGAAGAGGATGACGATGATATTTTCGAAACGAAGAAGGCGAGGAGTCCAAGGTTGAGGGAACAAAGGTTTCATGAGCCCTCCCCATCAAGCCCAGGGACGCCGGGCTCCCCTGTTGAGCCTCCCACTTACGACATTCACCCCGGGGCAACAGCTGTCCCGCCGCAAGAGCTATCCGGGCCACACGAAAGGATTCCCGCCCCTGATGATTCGTCCTCTGCAGCAGCTGGAAGCCTCCCTGTGAGCACTGAGTCCATGGAGGCTAGTGGCTTGCCCGGAGATTCAGTAGCAGCTGCTACAGCTGAGGAAACCGGTACTTCGGGTAGTCAGCATCAGGCAGTGGGATCGTTCATATCTTTGCTGTTCCCGGGAAGGTCGTCATCGTCTATATCGATGGACAGTGCGGCAGGTGAGGAGAACGAGAATGCAGATGGGGCTGCTAGTGCTACTGATACCCCATCTGCCGATGCTGCTGGCAACCGACCTGCCGCATCCGCTGCTAACCTCCCCTCTTCTGTTCCTGATGCCCCATCTGCTGGTGGTGCTGATGTCCCTTTTGCGGCTGGTGATGATGTTTCGTCTGCTACTGCTGATGCTGTTGTGGTTCATAGCGATTCAAGAAGCGACCATGCAGGTGAGCAAGGAAACACAGCTTCCACTGACAGTGACACGGTCCGAGCATCATCGGCCGACGTGCTGAAGGCATCGGAGGGTGTGAATCAACTTAATATGTTTGACCTCTTGGATTTCGACGACTCGGCTGCAGAAGGGCAAACGCCGCGGATGAGTTCTAACCCATCTGTAGAGACAAAGACCCCGGACCTTCTGGGTGATTTCTTCGGCGACTTTCCATCGATCTCTTCTAATGAAGCTTTGACTTCCGGAAAAGATTCTGGCAAGAACGAAATGGGGCAAGACCAAAGCAAATCCATAGATGATCAGGCACAGTTCGACTTCCTGGGATTGTCCTCCGACCCTATGCCGGGCTCATCCACCCCCGCACTGAAATCAGCAAGCAGTATGCAAACTGACTTTTTGTCAGATTTATTGGCCCACGGCTTAGGTTCCACGGATGTGAGGGATTCCAACCCAGACAGGAGCAGCGATGATGGGACAAGACTACAACAACCCCTGGGGCCCAGTTCATCAGGCGAGCCTGCCGAACCCTCACAGGTTGCATCGGGGTCATCTCCACTCCATTTGCCGTCACCTAGCCCGGAGCCGACGAACGTAGGCAAAGAGGGTAGCAAACGCAGCAAGAAGTCCAAATCACGAGATGCTGTCAAGGAGTCGAAGGGAAAGGACTGGGGAAAAGGTTTTATGGGACTGTTTGAGGCAGGTGGGGGCGGGAAGTCGTCCTCGCAATCAAGGAATGCTGCTGCCAGTTCTTCTAGTGCCGACTCTGAATCAAGTGGAGGATCAAGGAAGCGAGGAGAGCCGTTGTATCAATCCACGCCTGGGACTGATTTAGAGGTGAGTTTTTACCTTGTTCCTCCACCTCTCTTCCCCAGTGTTGCTCCTTCCCATCTTCCTTCCTCGTGCCAACCTCTCTCCTACTCAAGTACAATAACAACATAGAGGTGTAATATCGCAAGAAATGTGACGTTAGCCACTTTACTGCATTACAAGTGAACGCGAGTGAATTTTCCATCAGAATGAGAATGAACACAGAAATGTATGAAGGTTTGACACTGCAACACAGTTGACACACACTCTCTCTCTCTCTCTCTCTCTCTCTCTCT